GGAGGGACGGTTTGGAGAGGGGACACAGAGCTGGGCCCTGAAAGGAAGGCATGAACCAGGGAAAGGTCAGAGGGAGTGTAAAGGGACAGGGGGTGGCAAGGAGGGGAGAGTACGAACGACAGGAAGAGTGAAGGGAAAGCAGTGGTCCCCACAGAGCCTCCCAGGCACCTCCCCCGGGGGAGCCACTAGGGCTGCTCTCTGAGTTAGTGAGCTCCAGGGGTTGACTAAAGGACACAGGTTCAAACCCCAGATTCTGCAACTGGGCACTAAAAGCCCATCACCATGGGCCAGAAAGCAGGCTGGACTGGGAGTCAGAAAACAAGGGCTCTTCTCCCAGCTCCCCTTAATCTTCTACTTTTAGGACCTGGACTCTCACTATTCCTTTTAGGGAAGAGGTATAGCCGGATGAGGCCAGCCCATTCCCCACAGTGCTGGCTTTTCCAGCAGTTGAAAACATAGTATGCCGGGGTCTAAAGAGCATAAAGAAAAATAGAGTGTAAAAACTCATGAAGGAATACCAGTAGTCAGAAGGAGATCCACAGACAAGGTGGTCAAAGGGGGCATTTTTTCCTGTGCTGGCTTCCCTCTCCTCCACCCTAGGTATCAATCCAGCCAGCGTCCATTCTCAGCCCTTTGATAAGTGAGGGGCTCAGGCCCCTTTGGACTTCTAAGTCCCTGTCAAGTGAGGCATTCAGATTCCCCATCCAAAGGACTGGAGCCATGCCACCACTCACCTGGGGCGCTGACCCCGTAGGGCAGGGGCAGGAGTGGAGCATACAAGGCCCCACTGGTGTGCCTCAGGATTGGATTCCGTCGGTAAATAAGGGCCACGGCTTCCGGGTCCCCACAACTCTCCTAGAATCAGGGAAGGAGTCACAAGGATGGAAAAAGGGGCTCCCCACAAACTCAGGAGGCTTCTGGGTCCGCCACCCTTCTCTTTCTCCATGAAGTCCTCTCTGTCACACCTGAATGTCCCTCAGCAGCAGCTGGGTAGGGGTCTCCAGGGGCGCCTTGGAGGCGATCACTTCTCGCAGCGCCAGACCCCAGCGTTCCGCCTCTGCCTGGCGCGGGGAGCAAAGCCGGACGCTGTGCTTCCGGCCAGACACGGTGACTGACCACAGACCTGGGGAAAGAGAGGCCATGGAGGGCAATCAGGGCCGGACGGGGCGATAGCAGGGAGGTACAAGAACCCCCTGTGAAGCCTCACCGGTCTCCTTGGGACGGCGCTCCGGGCCGGTCACCGAGCACAAGCTGGTGAGCACGAGGCTCCTGAGGCGCCGCGCCCCCTTCCCGCTGCTACTGAATTGGTCCAGAGAGTCCCGGGTGAGCACGAACCAGGCCCGGCGCGGGGGCAACCAGGGCCGAGCCCCTCCTCCGCGAGGCTCTCCGTACAGCCAACCTGGGGGGAGGGGAGGGAGAAAAAGGGGATGAGCAAGAGAAGACGTTATCCCCTGGAGGGTTGGGATTGGGACTTCCAGAGTGCTTGAGGTGGGTCCCCACCTTTCACGACGACGTCTGGGTCCTCCTCGGGCGGCCCCTTCTCCGGGATGAGGCTCCGCGTCTCCTCCCAGCTCTGCAGCCTGGGCCAGAGGGGAGGGAGGATTGGGCGAGGCTGTCGGTCCAGCACCCCGCCTCCAGGGGGCTCTTCAGTCGGGGCTCCCCAGACCGCGAGGGGAGGCTGCTCCGGGCCTGGACACCCCTCCCCCAGGCTGTGGGAACCGCTGGGCCGTTCTGACCTCGCACCAGAAATAGCCCAGACCCCCCCTTTCTCCCCGCGCCCCCAGTCGGACCGCCCCCCCCC